TTTTGAAGTTTTTCTAGAACATCAGACAGCCTTAAATAATAAAATATCTTAATAAATAAAGTAATTAAAGTTTATAAATATATGAAAAAAACGAACAAAGCGAACTACTTTATGCTAGCTCCTAGGTAATCAGCATATAGTTCCTAATATATCAGCATACTTTATGTTTAGAAACAAACCTGATTTCGATAGCGAAATTTTGAGAATTTGTTGACTATTTTACTTCATTTTTAATATTTTATTAATTAAACAAAATGAAATAGGAAAAAGAGACCAATAAACTCAAATTATGTATTTCATTTATAATTAAGAAACAATAAAAATTTATTTGTGAATTTAATCTTCTAGAAATTCGAGAGGAGTATGTCAGTCCTGAAAAGTTGAATGTTTTGCTTAAATAACATTTAGCGAATTGCTATGTTCAATATCGAATAAATATGTCATATTGCATACTATATTGTAATGTTTATTATATACATACATAAGCATATGCATTCGTATATAAATATATTGTACATCGTGTATTCGTATGTAATTCGTATTTCAATTATACTATTATGTAAAAAATAGTTAATAAACAACCAGGCGCATAATGTTTAATATAAATAACTAGTATTTGCAAATACAATGTATATACTCATATACACATGCACTCACATACTATAGAGTAAACGTCAACAACAAAGCAAAAACCGAAATCAAAAGTAAAGAAATAAAAACTTGTTTTTATGCAATATATAATTGCAAATAAATTACAAAATAACTGAGAATTGAAAAAAATTGTTAAGTTTTTTTCTTATACATGTTTACTTTTAAATTTACTTTTTTAAATATTTATTAAAAATTTTTGTATAATTTTTAATTTTGATTGAGATTTTGGAAAAAAAAATTTTTTTGTTTTTGCAAATTTTTATACAATTTTACATTTATTTAATTCAATATAAATTTGCATAATTGCATTAATTCTGGGAATTCAAATTATTCCCTGATGGGAAAAAATCAACCATTCTGCTTTTGAGATTACGGGTATATAGAAAATGTTATATAATGTAATGGAAAATAATTCTTCCTGAAAATAGGATTAGCATAAAGGAAAAATTTAAAAAATTTGTAATTTTTTTTTTGACACAAACAGTTTTGGTTCGTGTCCAAACTTCAAAATTTCTTTTATTGAACAATAAGGAAGGTTTTGTTTTCACATCACATTTTTACCGAACGCATTGTTTATTCAATAAGGTAGGTTATGTGATGGCAACAAATTTTGCATATCGAGTTTTTGGTGGGAATGCACTTTTCCATGATAGGAAAGTGTAAATAAACTATTTTTAGAAACCTGTCAGTCTGTGTGTGCATGCGTGTATCTCAAGTTCGGCTGAACTGATTTTGAGGAAATTTTATATGTAAGTTTACTTCGAATGTGGCACGAATGTGATTTTTTAGCGGGCCTGTTTTCATCATTTTAAAGAAAGCGTTCAACAGATTTACTCAGTAAGTAAGCGTTCAACAGCTTTGCTCGATCGTCCGCGAAACCTCTTAACTTTTGGAAGTAATCAGAGGTCAGTAGCTGGACGTTTACTACTGGTCAAATATATATTTTTGCGTATATAAAGGGAAATAATCAACCAATTTCATTGAAATTTGATACTTGAATTCTTTGTATTAAAACAATGAACATATAAACTTTTTGGAAAGATCAGTGCTCGGAAACTGGATCTGAGGGCTGATTTTACATTTTTTACAATATCTACGGAACGAATTGATGGAATTTCTTGAAATTTAATATTTGAGCTCTGCTTATTACCAGAAGTTACTGGAATAAGGAAGTAAGGAAATTAATTATGATTTGACGAATAACGGATTGCAATGTTTGATGGGCTTTGAAAACTCAATATTTAGTTTAAATTTATGTCTTTCATAATGTTGAGTTTACGATTTTCATAATCTTTAAAATAATTTGAAGTTTTTTTTTAAATAAGCTGGGAGAACTAAATTTTTTTTTTACAAAATTTTCAATGTGAATTGATTAGGTTCGATAATTTTCGTTCGAATAGATTTTAAGTTATAATTACATACTAGTTCATTATATTTCATGATTTAGTATAACTCGAAAAAAAATTCATACATATTAATGACGAAGCGTATAGAATATAACTTCAATACATACAACAAAATTGTTGTATAACAATATTTGTTATATAAGAGTACTTTGAATTAAAACGTTGAACTGCTTTTCAAAAAATTCAACCATTATAATCATAACATGTTATCTTTAGATATTCTTTTGCAAAAAAAACTTTACATATTTGACATAAGTCATGAACATGCTAGAAAATATTTTGTATAAATAAAATGATAACTAATTAGTATGCGAGGATGTTTTAAAATTTTAAATATTTCAATTTTTTTTTTAATTTTTTTTTTATTTAAATCTTCTTAATAAAATCATCTAATAACTTCTAATAACCTCAGTTTGAATTTATATTATTATATTTTTATGCCGGTCACGTAAATACATATATATGTGTGTACTGTGACACACCCTAATGATAACATTCGACTTAAGTAATATTTGAATTAAAATCTTCTGTTTAAAAATGCTAGTTATTTTTTTAGGAAAAATTTTTAATAAAAATAAATTGTTTTAATTGTAAATTTTAAGAATAATTAAGATATTGTGTACACACTGTTTTTATGTAAATGACTTTTTGCGAAATTGTATAACAGTTTAACAAATATAATTTTGCATAACTTTCGTACATATCTAATATTAGCTCCTTTTAATATCAAAAATGTACCGAAAGAAATTTACTTAAAATGTATAGGCCCCTAAATATTTCTGTGTATGTTTACAGATTTGAGACAACATAGAGATTTGAGAATAGCGTATACTAATAGTATTATTTTTCAATTGCTGTTTTCTATTTAAATTGAAGGTTTTTGATAAAATTTATACAATACAAATTTTATGGTTTGTATTGTAGTACTTTTCCAACATTTTCGTACTCAATTACGCTGCAATTCGAATGAGTAAGAGAAAATTTTGAAGGAATCTATAAGTTAGTGTGTGCCTGTTACAATGATTATGTCAAACATTTTATCTATGTATAATGTAAATGTTTGACGTCAAATATGACATTCTCATACATAATGTCTCTTACTGACTTGATCGTATCACTATGCTCGTATATTTTGTAAATTTACAGATTAAGTGCGCAACTTATGTTAGTCTATATATATGTATATGTACATATATATTTACATGAACATATGCTTTGGAGTAAATAGTCAAAGTTTTACAAAAATAAATATAAATAACAGTTTATTTGTAATTTTATTACATACAAAGTGTTAATATAAAACTTGAAAAAATCCATGACAAATTAATATGGTAATATATGAATGCTAAATAAAATATTTTATTGATTTCATTTATAAAAAACAAAAATGTATTCATTTTAGTATTATGTTGGTATTTTCTCGTTATAGTAATAATTAATAGCAATATATATGTATATAGAGTAAAACTTGTGTGTAATAAATTACATATACACATTTCAGACAGGAAGAAAATGGTTAAGATATATATATATATAAAATTATAATACATTTTATGTTAGAAAATATGTAACTGATTTCAGTAGATCAGCACACTATTCAGATTTAATATATTTAAATTTTTTTAATATATTAATTGATACTATTTGATAAATGAGATTGTATTAAGAAATATGTGAGATTTGGCAAGTAGATAAAAATTGGTTTCAATTAAATTTTCCAGATATAACTATAATTAGATTTATTCACACGATTAAAATTAAACTTTCAAATAAAGATAAAACTGAAAAGACGGGCTGAAACCTCTCTTAAAAGTTGTATTTTTTCTCTTAACTTAAACTTTTGTATTATTTAAAATTGAATAGTTGAATATTGTGAGTTCAATAACTGAGTAAATACTTATAAGAGAATATAAAATTTAAAGGAATGTAAATGTAGTTCATGGGGATATAAAAATTGTTAAAAATGTTAGCTAGGTAATTTGAAGATGGGACTGGAACTAGTTAAATGTTCAATTTTTTTGTAATAATTAAAATATGATAGATTATATTGAAATATTTTAGAATAACATGCTTAAATTTGTAATTGAAAGTAGAGTTGAGAATTCACTAATCTAACATGGTATAAGCCATATAAATTTTAAACATTTTAAATAGACCTAAATAATATATAGTAATTTTAAAAGAATAATATTATTTTATAGAAATCGCGTAAACAATATCTTAAAGTGTCTAAAATTTAACGCTAATATACGTATATGTAAAAGATAGAAGTTGAAAACGCATGCTTATATACATTTCGGCAAAAAAGAGTGTTCGTTTTTTGAAAGGCTTATTTGTTCGGATTGAAAATTAGTGACATACATAAATTTTTGAGTTTAACTGTTCAAGGAAACGGCAAAATATGAAAACGAACTTATAACTTCGTGCATTTTTTTAGGTCCAATTTCCCCTATTTCTGTCTCGAATTTTAAATTGAATTTCATCTAGACTTATTAATTATTATTCACATATAGCCAATTTTGAGAATGCTTCACTTATGTGGAGCTAATAATCAAAAATGTGAATAAATTCTACAAATTTTGTATTTTAAACTATAAAATTTAAAATTAATATTGGTATAAGAAGCAAGAAATAAATTATAGTAGGCTAATATTATATATTATTTAAAAAAATCCATAAAATAAACAAAAATCATGTATTTACGTTACGTCAAAATTCTCGGAAATCATAAAACAATATACAAAATTAAGTAATAATTAAAACGACCAAATAACAAATATTATGTGCAGTGAATAAGAAAATTAAAATTTTGTACGCAGATAAACAAAAGATGATCTCCTCTTAAATATGAATAACAGTGAATTTATTATAAAATTCTGATTCTTTAAATTTCTTACGTTTTTGAAATTTTTGATTTTATTTAAAATAAAAATTTTTGAAAAGATTTCAGATAAAAATTCATGACGGAGTTAAACGATAATTTAAAAACTAAATTTTTATTTTGCTGACAGACATTGTCAAAACAACAGCAAAAATTAAAAAAAATAAAAACAAATTGAATAATCAAAATTAAGTAAAGATAAAACGATTTAAGAAAATTTGAAAAAAAAAAATAAACAAGAGAAGGATTCATTTCTAAAATTAAGTTTTTTGTAATAATTTTTTATTAATTACAAAAATCTAACAAAATGCTGATTACGTAAGTACCTACATTGTTTTTTAAATATTAAATTAAATCAACAAATTCTATAGTGAATAAATAAATTTGAATATTATAAATTAAATTAACACAAAATTACAAAATTTGAAACGAAAAATTAAAATAATGAAATTATTAGGGAAATAAAGATCAATGGTTTGCAATGCAGCACTTTTTCAATTTTTAAAGAGTTCAAACCTAAATTAATTCATTAATACGAGTATGCATACGCAGCTTCTATTATTATGCGGAAAAAATATTGCATATTTATAGGAGGGGGGAGGTGGCAAGAAGAAGCGTTAACATAATGGCCGAGTTCGATCTTTTATTATGTCGGAAAACCTTGTAGTGGTAAAAAAGAAAATTGAAAATGGAAATTTAGCAAGCTTTTAGAGGCGATAACTAGAAAAAGAAAGTAAGATAAATGTTTTGGTATATAAAATTTCAGATTTATATTTCAAAGGGCGAAGAAGTTTTATAAATAGATACAATTCCTGACGGACAGATAAAAACATAATTAAAATAAAAACTGTTTGTTTTTTTTTAAGTTTTGTAGGAAAAGTGCTACAAACTATTTAATTTCACGATTTTCGTTTTCATAACAATTTAATAATAAACAAGTAATAAAAATAATGGAAAATTTTAATTTTTTTGATATGTTTTGTAAATATTTTTAATTTAAGCAACATAGTTAAAGTCGGTTTCCATTATTCTTAACAAATATAAGATTTAAAATTTTCATAATTAATCACGTACCAATTTTACTTGTATGTCATTAAAATGGCAATATTATTTGTTATACCCGGTTAATAGCTATATGAAACAATGAAAATCATTTATTTACCCATATTGTTTTTGAACTATTAAAAAGTAAATAATTTAAAATGAAAGCAAATGTAATAAATGTAAGAATTCATTTCAAAATTTTTAAGAACTCATTTCAATTGCTATCAAATAGCCGATTTAGATTTAACTTAATTGCAATTTAAATGTAAATTTTCGCTATATTACTAAACTAAAACAAAAGTCATGATAGACCATACTTGAGGAAATACGACCATTTTTATATTATACAATATAACTGTGGAGCTTCTACAGTAAATATTGTATAATAAGCAAAAATATGTTTTACAATAGGTAATTGTTTCATTTTCTCAACTGCATTGATAATTTCAATTTCAATTTTTCAAATATCTGCGGACATTTGCCTTGTATTTATTTTTATTTATTGAAAAATAGGTTCACCTATAACCAGAAAGTGAATTAAGTAAAGTTGAGTAATAAATTTTTTAAATTTTTTCACATTTTTTCCATTACATTTTCCAAAATTATGAATCACATTCTTTGTACTAGACTTTATTTTGAAATTGTTATTTTTGTTATTTACAAAATATGCTTTTAATTTACGACCTTTAAATTTTTTGTTTATCCAATTGAGTTTTCTTTAAAACTATTTTATGCTATAACTTTGTATAAGCATTTTCCAAAGAAAATCTCATGATAATAACAAAATATTTTTAACTGGTCGTATAAACATTTGTATTGTTGTGGCAATATAAAAGAAATAAACTATGAATTTAAGAAAATAATAAAAGATTTTAAATAAAAAATAGAATTCAAGTCAAGATTTTAGTTCAAGTTCATATTTTTGAAGTTAATGTGCTTTTTTTTGTTTTCTTTTAGAAATTAATGTCTCTAAATTTCAAGTAACAATAATCAAAAAAAAAAAGAAAAAATCTTTTTCTTGATATTTTTTTTTGTTAACTTTAATTTACCATAATGTGGTCATTTCAAAAAATCTTGCCCTAAAATTCAATTGTATGCAAGTATTTATGTACCTTTTGTATGTTCAAATATTTTTTTATAAAAACCTTGCGCTGCTTAAAATTTTTTCTCACTCACTCAATATTATATGTACATAAGTTTGAAACAATCTGCTATTACCTTGAAAAATAAGTAACAAAAAATTTACTATAAATTGTGGTGCATCAAAATTAAAAATGCAATTTACTAAAAATATATTTGGTATTTAATATAATTTTTAAATTATAATTTTAAAATATTTAAAATTATTTCATTTATAATATTAAACTTCAATATATTTAAGTAGAGATTATTTTAGTATGCATATTGTGAATAGATTTATTAAACAGTATCACGCATAATATCACGTTTAAAATTAGTAGCGTTAAATTGATAGATAAATGTAATTTCCATTTTCAAAAAAAAAAATGTAATGATTAAATGACGTTGACTGTCTATTGCTTACTATTTCCGTACAATATAGTTTGAAAATGATTAATGAAGGTATAATGAATTTTGCGTAACGCTTGTAATAATATTAAAATTTTGAAGATTTTCATTGTATGCTCTCCAGCAGTATTTAAAAAAAAAATTTCCATCATTTAGGTACCGTAAAACAAATTAACTTACAAAAAGTCGCTATTTTTGTAGCAAAATTGTAGACAAATATACACAAAAATTTGATTAAATTTAGATTGCCATTATTCTCATAATAATTATTGGGTTAAACTTTCAATATTTTTTAAAAAACTTTAGAAAAATGGTTTATTTAAAGAAAATTATTGAGTACCAGACTCTTTAAATAAGCCAAATATGATTTGCTTAATATTGGAATGCAAAAATTTCCTGTCTTCGGTTTTAACTTTGCTATTAACCTACAAGTGTATTTGAATAATATTCTAATATTACAAAAAATTTTATATACTTATGAAATTTTTTTATACAACTGGAAAAAAAAAATTGCAAATTGTTTTGCACTCATATTAATAACAAAAAATTAATTCTCAAAATATAAAAATTTATTTAAATTACAAAATTTATAAGGTTTCTCGCTGAAGTTTTTTGTTTTCGATAAACTATTGGTACATAATACTACATATTTAATATATGTACGTTACTTATTGTCGGTCTATTATAACGGATTAAAATTTATTAAAATTTTTTTTTTTTTTTGAAATTTAAAAACTTTTCGGGTCTCTTTTAATTACATATACTCATGTATATATACACTAATATTTCTTTTTTGTACTACACACTTACAAGAGAGAAAATATCAAGTAATAGAGGAAAACAAAATTCAAATATTTTGCAATTCTTATAGAAAAACAAAAAACATAAAACGACGTAAAGTCAACGAAGTTAAAATGCTCATGACATGCAAAATCAAAATATATATGTATAGATGAATGTATATATATGTATAAATAGTTTATAATAAGATAGCATTAATGTAATGTACAAAAAAACATTAGCCAAACTGTGATACATGAGATTATCATGTTTTTTTTTTATTTTACCATAAAGTTATAATTCTAATCATGAAAAAAGTGAAAAATTCAAATAATTGGATAGTTAAAAATATTTTCGCAAATTGAAATGTCTAAAATGGTCTTTTCATAATTTATTACAAAAAAAATATAAAATTACTATTTTTTAAATAAGAAATCGCAGTACACCATTGGGAATCCAATTGGAGTTTGTTTTATTACAAGTCAAAAAATTTCTTTAATATTTAGTGGTAAACAAAAATTACGATCAAAATTTTATAACTCTTCAGCTTTCTGCAATTTCAGCAACCTTTAATGTCTGTGATGATGTATCGTATATAGACCGTAAGTTGAGGGTTGTCGATAGTCCTCTCAGTGTGCTAGTGCAATGAGCTTCAGCACAGGCACACTTTTCTTAGTGCTATTACTACTACTAATTTTCAATTTTCACTAAATCTCGAATGTATTTTTAGAATTTATGGAAGTATCCTTTCTAAAAAAAATAAATTGAATTCAATAGAAGAATGTACCAAGAACACTGAATCGTAAAAGTGAAAAAAAAAAATATTAAAAATAATAATTTCATTGTGGCACTGTGCTGCGATAAACCTATTTCTCCATCAATTTTCTATATTGAAAATCTGCTTTCATAGGCGATTACAAAAACCATAGTGAGAAACATAGGAGAATAAAAAATTGATTGCAGCAAATTGTTTTTTGAAAATTTTTAAAAATTCGGAGTTTGATCCGAAAAATATTAAAAAATGCAATTTTTTTTTTAAATATTTTTTGAAATGTGCTTCTTCAGTAGATTTATATTATATATAAATAAAAATTTTTTTTTGAAATAGAGAGCGTGACTGACTATTTTTATTTACGATTATTACGAACATTGTCGAATAAGATTAAAATAAAGTTGGGTCAAACCAATGGTTTGTATTGTAGCACTTTTCCCTTCAACAAGTGAAAATTCTGCTTTTAAATACAATCTATGTGTACCTACCACACTATTAAAATTATTTTCATTCATATACACAACGATTTCTAGGATTGCCTATATTTAGGATGACGCATATATGCAGTCTTTGAAATAAAGCAAAAATTAATATAAAAAGGGGTTAACATAATGCTCGATCTTAAGGGTTAATTGTGTGAGTTAAGAAAAATAATTATATTTTTTAATTTCATGGAATTTACTGTTAGCTTTTTGCGTTTATAAAAATTTGAAAAAACTTGCGGTTTCGGAAATATAAGGTGTCAAAAATTCAAATTTTACAAATTTCAAGAGGCGATAACTTGAGAGGTGGTGGAGATGGAAAAAAATTTTCTTCTAACGAAATAAACTATTTATTAAGGTCTAAAAGCCCCTAAAATTTCAATCTTCTACAGACTGGGATCTAGAAGAAAAACGAGATCAAAAATTTGTAAAAAAAGACCTTTAGATAACGGTAAATTTGAACGGCCATTTTGTTTTTCTAAAGTTTAACTATAGTATACCGCGCTAGAGGAAGCAAGCCACTGCCTTTCTGCGTTTGAAAAATTTCAAAAATGCTTATGGTTTCATTGTAACAAATATTTAAAAAAGGCCATTTTTAGGGTTTTGGGGGGGTATAACTTCTAGAGGGGGGGAGGTAGGTAAAAATTTTGTTCTACGGAAATAAGTTTCTAGTGAAGATCTATGTACGTATGAAATTTCAGCTTTCTATCTTCAAGGGTGTAGAACTTTTGTAAACAAAAAAAGTGTCCACGGACGGACGGACGGACGGACGGACGGACGGACAGAGTGAAACTAATAATCACTTTTTTCAAAAAATTTTTTGGAAAAGTGCTAAAAAAACGAAATTATAATAGCATTTAAAACCGCAAAATATTCGTTACTAATGACAATTAAAAGCAAAAAAAATTTTTTTTTGTATAGGTACACTTAAGTATGGTATGTATGTATGTGCTCTAACATAGTAGATAAAATAATTATACATTGGCTATGTGTCAATATTGAATTTGCTTGTTTTTTTTTTCTTTTCATATTTCTATGTTTTGTATAGGTGCTTTATATTTGTATGTAGCACTACCCCGAACCAAATCTGAGGAAATAATTTTTATATAATAATAGTTTATTTATTTTTTATTTTTATTATTTTTTTTTAGATTTTGTTGATTTTTTGGCCAAACGTTTACTGAATTACAAAATTTTTTTTATTGAAGTTGGGATTTTTGTTGTTTTTTTTTCTCTAAAATTTTATGATTTTCTTTTTTTTTTGTCCTCAATCTATTTAGAAAAAATATCATAGTATTGATAAATATAAAGCTAAAAATTTCTTATCATAGTATTTGTTTAGTTAATTTGTGTAATTTGATCATAGTTGATCGGTTGCTCGCTTACCGATGCCATATGAAAGAAAAGCGAGGAGGAAAGGAAGAAAACAATATCAAAAATGAGATAGAAAAAATAGTAATAATAATAATGAAAAAAAATATAATGTTAAGTTTTTGAATGAAATGCGTGAAGTGATGCAATATTTAATAAAAAAATATTGAAAAAAAAAATATTATTTAATAATAATAGAAAGAAAAAAAAAATGAAGTTAACTGAGAAAAGGTATTTGTAGTTTTTGAGTATATTAATTGTTCATCTGACATTGATTTTGTTTTTGTGATATTATTTTTCTTAATATGAAATTATTTAATCGTATATACATACATATATATATATATATATTTTGAATATTAGATAAGAATAGTGTTTTAAAATTATTAAAATTCATAATTTATTATTTATAGTGATATTAATATTGATAATGTTACTCAATAATTTAATTGTATTATAGTATTAGGCATACATAATAGCTATATAAGCATTATAACAGTTTAAAAATAATTACGCAATTTAGTGAATATGCTCTTCCAAAAAAATTTGCCTCTCAATCTTGAATTTAATCATAATTCTCCTTAATTTTTAAGACAGAATCTTTCTAATTAATCATTGTGAATTGTGATGTGCAATAAGAGTAATTGAAATAATTTTATTAAATATAAAAGCATAAATAATAACTGTTTTTTTTTTTACATTAAAGAGCATAAAATATTTTTTAAGAGAAATTCTATGGAATGAATATAAAACAAAAATAATTTTTTTTTTACTTTTTCTTGCGATTGTCATTTAAAATTTGATACGCTTCATTATTAATTTGGTACGTTTGTTTTATAAATTTTTTTTTAACTCCATATTGAGTATAAAATTTTGTAAGTACACAACAAGGTATACGTACTTGAATAAGTATAAATCAAATATCAGAAATTTTAACTTTAAAATTTTGTTAAAATATAATGAAAAATTTCTAAAAAAAATAATTTTTCTTTTTGAATGAATGCCTGCTCATTCATATGGAAATAAATAAATTTAGTTATATATGTTCATATGTATATATTTATACATTGATATAATATGCATATAGACATTTCGTTACAGATTTCATTTATTAAAGTTCACAATTTTATGCTTTTGTATTATCAAATTAAAATTTCTATTTTATATAATTCTTGTATGGAATTGAATATTTCTTATTTTTCTAGTTCAATCGAAAATTTATTAAAATCTGAATTATACTAAGGGAATGGGAGCTTTTTTAATACAACTTTGATAAATTTTCAAATTCCCTTATAAAATAATTTTTTTTCCATACTTTCCTGATTGCAAATAATATCAATATTTGTTTTCTCTATTGTGAATTCAAAAACAATATTTTTAATGCTGTAATCCTAGAAATAACCTTTAAACTTAACAATATAGCATTTAATTTTTTAATTACTTAGGAAATTATAATTAAAATAAATGTTGAAAATAATTAAAATTGTTTTCTTAAGAATTTCTTTATTTTTCAATTAATTCGATATTTATAAAACTTTATACAAAAAAAAAACAAAAATCTTCTATCACAAAATAGTTTAAGAATATTTTTACCAATTTATCATAATTTTTTTTTTAAAGTAAAAAAATATGTACATTTTTATTAAAAATTTAAAATTAAATAGTGCATATAACATTTCAGTAATATAAAATATTTAAAAAAAACTTAAAGTACAATAATAAAAAATTATTATTTTTAAATATAAATTCAATATTTTTTGTATAACAATACAAAAAAAAATAAAAAATAAACAAAAAATATAAAACATGAGTTCTCTTATTGCTATGCAATTTTTTCTACAATCTTATAAAGTATGTATGAAAAATATGAAAAAGAAAACACAATTCTCTTATATAACTTATTCTTAATTATTTTATTATAGAAAATAATAATAATTTTTATATTTAAATACATTATTTATATATATATATATTATTCATAACGTTTTAAATTTTTCAAAACTGCATTATATACTAATTCAGTTACATTTTCGGCAAACATAAAATCTAAATGATTAAATCTAGCATATGGCACTCTATAAGCAGATTTTAAATTTGGTAAACGTACTGCTAATCTTCGAATATCTTCAATTGATGTTAACCAATCATTATTACCAAAATATATATAGACTGGTGCTGTTATTTTTGATATATTATATTCGGGTGCAGTAGATTGTGCATAATGAAATAAATTTCTTACAGTACCATGATCATATTCACGAAATTTATGTGATGCTATTATTTGCCCATAATGTATTAATTGTTTAGCTGATGCACCGGCATTAACACTTGTTGCTATTATATCCGGAATTAAAGTCTTAAATTAAAAAAAAAAATATATATATACATATAAAAATTTTTTTAAAATGAGTATAACAAAAAAACAAAAAAAAACTTACTTTATTAAAATTTTCAGTATCATAACCAACAAATAAAAACATTAAATTTGAACATATCGATTCAAGTGGTGAACTTTTTTTACATGCTTCATAACCCATTAATGCTAATAATCTACTACTTGGTACAACTAACATATCACCTAATAATTCAAATATTAAACTTGGTTGTCCAACCATTGGTCCTAATATACGTAATATTGGACTAACTAAATTACCAATATATGCGACTGGTGCTAATGCATGCATTGATGTTATTTTTGAATTATATTTTGGTCTTGTTGATGCCATTACAAAAAATGTTGTTGTACCTTGTGAATGACCAACATAATGTAATGATTTAAAACGTGTTACTTTTAATATAAAATCAATCATTGCCGGTAAATCATATATACCCATTTCATGCCAACTAAAATCCCAAAATTCACGACTATTTGAACCAAATTTTGTATGTAATCTTGAATAATTTGTACCACGAAAATTACCCAACCATACATCATAACAAGCATCTGCCAATAAACATGGTAAACTATTATTTGCTTCACTTAATAACCATGATGTTGATGATACCAATAAACCATGTTGTACTAAAATTGGTTTTTTTCTTATTTCTATATCAGACATATTACATTTTTTTGATGATACCATACGAAATAATGTTAAAACATAACCATCATCTGTTATTACTTTATAACTTTCTAATGGATAACCAAGTAATCTGGCACGACTTTCCTATTTATTGAAAAAGAAAAAGAAAGGAAGAAAAAATTAATGAAATATTATTAAAACAAAAGCAAAGTCAAATAATTTTTTTATTTTAAAAATTATTATTGCTTGTATTTTCTTTTTGACAGAATTATATGTCAAAATATAACTTATGTGTAATCATATATGTATGTACTCAAATTCCATTTCTTGTAGTTTTTATAAAATATTTAAGAGCATTGTTGACAAGTTTGTGTCAAAAATGTCAAATTGTTATACAATAAACATAATATTTATAAGAAATTTGACATATTTTTGACATATACTAAGAATGCATGACATAAGTTAATAATTTTAAAATTATTTTGTATGATTAAAACGCAAAAACACACACATACAAATTTTGTAAGAAAATATATTAAAGGAAATTTTTCTTTGCCTTTCATAGTTACTTAAAAAAAATTATAGATAAAAAAATGTTTTAAAATTATTTCCTTTTTCCTGTTTATTTCAATTTAATTTTGCTAGCATCTTAGTTTTTTGCATTTCAGGAACTTTAACAATATTATAATAAAACTAGCAATTACTGTCGACTGTTATAATATTTTTACTTGGCAGACAGAGTATATAAATTGCGTTTATTTTTTTTGTATATTTTTGTAATTTTAACGTGATATGCATTTTTTATTATTTGTTATATACAACAACATTGACAATATAATAATAATAATTTTAGTAGACTTATGAAAATAAAAGTTAACACTGTAAGTAATTGATATTGGTAACACTTTAAATGTTTTCAATTTTTGTTTTTTGTATTGATAATATTGATATTGTTTTATAGGTTTACTTACCATATTAATATATTCAAGTTCTGTTGCCATTATACCAGTTAATGGTATTAATAATGTAATATAACTAATTAATATAATAATACTGTATGTTATTGTTTTGAAATATTTTAAATTTTTAATATTCATTTGATATTTTTTATATATATATTTATATTCACTTTTATGTATATTTTTAAAACTATTAATATTTTTATTATTATCATTTATATAAGTATTTTTATAATTATTTTTCTTAATATCATTATTATTAATATTATTATTATTATTATTATTATTATTATTGACTAAGATTTGCACTTTCGTTATTGATTGGTACTTCATTGCACTCACTATGAAATCTTTCACTCTTTTGAATAATTTCGAATAATTTTACTTTCTTTTATACGAAGAGTATAATAATTTTTTTTTTCTTTTAACTTTATTTATTTATTTTTATTATTATTATTATTATTTTTTTTTCTTCTGTATTTTATATTTATTATTTCTCTGCTTCTGCTTTTTTAACTAAAAAGATATGTCCATATTTTAAAAATATATTTATTAATATATGTATATGTATGTATGTGCTATTATATATATTAAATGTATATAGAGTTGGATGGGATGTATTTTTGTATGTATATGAGATTGCAACACAATACAAGAAGAAAAATTGAACAGCACAAAAAAAAAAAAGAAACAAAAATTTTTTAAAAAGAAATGTAGAAAATTTACAGAAACAAAAAAACTAAATGTATGTGAGAAGGAAAAAAAAAACGATAATATAAAAAAACAGTTAAAATAAAAAAAAAGTCCAAAATAAATGCGGCTAAGAGGAAAGAAAAACCAATCTTTTTTTTTTCTTTTCTTTTTCTATTCCATGAATTCCGATAATTTGTTTTTACGAATTGTAAATTTTTTTTTTTGTTTTCAAAGAATATGCACAATATCTTTATATTTTTTTAAATAAAAATTATTTTCGAATTTAAATTTAATTAAATTTTAAAAATAAATATAAATACTTTTGTATGTAAAGGTAAAATGTATAAAAAAAATAATAAAATTCCGTAAAAATCTTGTTGTTGTAAAAAATTATGAGAAATTCGAGAAAAAGAAATGTTAACAGTTCAACAAAACAGTACCAAATGGTTTATTGAAATAAAACAATACTCTATATACAGCGCCAAACACAATCAGTGGCAGAAGAAGTAATTCCATTTACTAAAAACAAAAATTTTCTTTTTTAACTTCTTTTTTCTTTGAAAATTATTGGAATATTTTGTTTTTCTTTCCGATATGCTGTATTGAGCATATTTTCTCTCTATATCTCATAATATGTACTTAGTTTCTCTTCCTTTCTCTTCGTTTTTCATTATATTATTTTCCTTATACATTTACTTCTATTTTTACTTGCTATACTCGTATAACTGTTTTTCTCAATTTTTATTTTTTGCATTTTCTTTAATTCACTATTATTCCATATATATCTATCTTATATGGAAAATAATGAACGGTTTATTGAATGTTTCTTGATTTTTATTTTTTTTCTGATTTTCAATCTTAAAATCTTAAATGTAAAACAAATGTATGTTACGTACTTTTGTGTGTATGCACTTGTAATTATTATTTTTTATATAGTGTTGTTGGTCGACTGACGATATTTAATCTAATGTAATAAATATTACATATGAAAAGTGTTTTTATACTAACTATACATAAAAAATTAGATTTTTATATTTTTTATATTATTATTCTCTTCTTCTGGTTTGAAATGCTATTTAATATATGAAAAATTTTCCATTTGAAAATCACATATACATATAGGAGTATATAAATTTTGTAAACCAAATATAATTATGTATAGAAATATTTGTATATATATACCAACCTTATTTGTGTATACAAATTTAAACCGCATATTATAATATTATAAAAGTGGTAAAATTATTTTCATTGGTTATTTTGTAATCGAGAATCAAAAATATCTGTATAACATTAAAACAATTTTGGGATTTCAATAAATGTATACATGAAATATTGTTAAATATCTTTGATAATAATGAAAATTTGTAATACAGGTATATGCCTATGATCGCAGACGACACACATATATGTACATAGATGTATATAAATTATGTGATAGAAATCAATTCAGTTTTTCTATTTAACTATACGAGTATGTACGTTACATATTACGAAATTCCGAAAAAAAATGTGGCAATATTGATGTTATTTTTTTTTAATTATCCTCTTTTATAAGCATTTATTTACGGTACAATAGAGTACAATTTTATTATTTTAACGGTAAATAACATTATTTGTAATCACATGTATGAATGTTAGTATTTTCTTTGTAACTAATTACATATTGTCAACAATTTTTATTCAAATTACATATAATATATTGTATATAGATTCACAATAGAATTTATTTTATTCAAAAAATCACAATAATCAGCAGGAATGTGGAAAGCTAGTTTCATTGAATTCAAAAATAAGATTGTACTGAATTTTACATATTATATATACATGCATATAATTAAAATATTTTTCAAATCTCTGATTAAGAGTAATTAACAAATTAATTTTTTGTGGCTGTTTACTACAATATTTTTATTTTTGTTATATTTTGTTAAAACATTTTAAAATATTGTTTTAATTTTTGTGTCAATTCACATACATACACACGTATATTAATATTTCAAAATATTAATTTTTAATTTAATAACACAAAGAAAATAATAATTTTACACAAATTTTACATGAATGGAACAATGTTCTTTTATGATAAACTAATTCAATATTACGTACATTACTGGTAACAAACAAATATTCGAATTTGTTTATATGCCGAAAGCTGTTAAATTACATATGTAGTATATCTCTTCTATATTTTCTTTCAATTCCATTTTCTGTATGTTTCATTTACTCAAAAAATTAAACATATATTGCAGCTTATAGCATGTTTAATATAATATAGGTATTTATATTATATAGGTTTACTTCTCTCTTTAAATTTATGTTTAGAGTATAACGAATATTGAAGAATACTGAATAAGTAATGTTAAATAAATTTATCTTAACTTTTAATAAAATTAATATTGGAGAGTATTTGGGTGCACATACATACTTGGAAGAGAATAATAATTATTGTATTTATGTTCAATCTCATTATTTTATTGAATCTTCTTGAATTTAATATAAAATTTTATGTACATACACAAATACAAATATACGAATTCAATATAAAAAATTGTTTGACAGTTTTGTTTTGAAAATTGTTATTGAAAATTATCTCTAATTAATATGTTTAATAAGATATAATATGATGATTTCAGTTTAATAATGAGGGATACGTGATATGAACACAATAATGATAAAAAATTAAAGCATGTATACTTTTATTATAGATTTTGTATGTATTTTATGAAGGTACCTACATATACAATAAATTTTAAAAAAAGTTAGTTAATTTAAATTTTATCTAGTTCATAAGTTTTAAAGAATAGACATATATTTCAGCTGGACCTTTATTGAGGATCCGTTACACATTTTTAATAATAAACCTTTAAAACAATAGTGAACAGATTTGCCTCAAATTTCATATGTCATAATTATATTTGTTTTCAGTAAACAAAGAAGAGTTTTTAAAATAATAATAATTGTAAAAATTGAGCTTTAGTAAGTGAACTTTTATTTGAGGCGGCTTCTGTCACTTTTATGATGACAGAAGTGTTTATAGCATTAGAGCATCATTTCAATAATTTTTGAATATTAATAATAATTAAAAATAAATTTTCGCAAAAAATCTATTATTCTTTTGTATAGGTAATTTTTTTACCAGACTGCTTAAGAATTAGTACTCTATTATTGCTAACTAAGTAGATTTTTTACTATATACATATGCCCGTACATATACATATTACATTAATATCATTAGAAATATTCAATTTTTTCACTGGCTTCATCAGATTCATAAGATAATATTTAATATTGAAAAATTCTTTACAATGCAAGTAAATAAAATGATCGCAAACGATCTCTGTAGAAGCTGCTGTGACGAGGAGGAGGAGGAAATTATGACCCACCTGCTGTGCTCGTGTCCGGCGTTGGTGAATTCCAGGCGGAACTTTCTTGGGTTCAACTTTTTGGACGAGCTACGAACCTAGTGAATATAAATGCTAGGGATCTCGGCCGGTTTATGAGGAACTCGGGCTGGTTCTAATGAGGGAGAGAGGGAGGATCCGGTGGCATCACAACGGGCCTTGGTGGCCTAGGTGTACCCTTCAGGGAGCCGTGCAACCTAACCTAACCTAACCTAAGTAAATGAACCTATACCATTGAAAATAAGAACGTTTTATTCTAAATATATTTCTAATTAAATTTGATTCATTTTTCCTAAAGCAATAATATCTAAAAATATAACACATTTAAATATATGGTTTAATTTCAATTTGTTATAATATTCCACTATGCATTGCAAAATATATTGTGTTCAATAAACACATATATTAAATAGTAAAATAAATCCTAATTAAAATTACACACGTGTAATTTTGAATAATAATTAAACTCAACTATACCTATGTACATACATACATATACAATTTGTACGACATATTTATAGATATTAGCACATTAAAAAAAATTAAAATGCTTCATAAAATACTAATTAAAAATAAATTTTCCTTTTGAATTCCATTGACTGACAATTTGATCTTCAATTTTTTTTTGTTTTTTGCAATATTTTTAATTTAAGCATTTTAAATGAAACTATTGAATTCAAATTGTTATTAAAAAAAAAAATTGATTTAAAATTAAAGGTTAAATGAATTTCATTATAAAATTTTGAAATTTTATTCAAGTTATCAATATTATAAATATTATTGCCAATATTATAAATTTACTTTGTAATGAACGTGTTAAAATAAATAGCGAAATGTGTATAACAATGTTAAACACAAATATTTAATTACATATTTATTTAAAAAATTAATTTCATAATTGTGGAAAAGTAAACATTTCAATATTGTCATAAAATAAATAAGTATTTATTATATAGGGAATATTGTTTCAAGAAATTGCATATTGCAGATATTTTATAGCAAAAGAGACCATTGTATAAACAGAGCT